GATCATTTTCGCCAATGTCCAATGTTACATGATTGCTAGGTATTCAGGCCTGAGTGACCTCTTCGACCTTGGTCTTTTTCGATGAGTCATCTGCCTCCGCAGGCTCTTCGGCCTTGCGCTTCGTGCCATTGGACTCTGCACCGTTTGCCTGAGTTTCTTCGGGCTTGGGCTCCTCCTTGGCCTTCTTGCGTACAAGGCCAGTGAGATCGGTCGCTGTCTTTTTGGCTTCCTCGACGCGAGCTTGTGTCTGAGCCGCAGATTCACCAATAGCCGCTCCAAGGATTCCGCCCAAGCCTTCACCACCGAGAGCAGCGTTCACGTCAATTGGTGGCTTGCGAAGTTCCACGAGCTGTGCATGATTAGTAAAGGTACCGTTGAGGACAAACTATGGTTACTCACGCGCTGCTCCATATCCGCAATCATGTCCTTGACGTCGGTAATCGTGGCCCGGGTGACTTCGTTGTCTTCCGGAGATGCCATGGTCGCGAGTTCGACTTCCTTGTTCTGGAGCTTGAGCTTGGTGCTGTTGATGGCTGCTTCCAGCTCATTTGCGGCCTCCTCGCGAAGTTTCTCGTCGAAAGGCTTGCTCTCTCCTTGCTCACCCTCCTCCTGAGTGGTTGTTACGGAGGAGAACTCAAGCGCCAACGAAAGCTTGAAGTGCGCTTCGGCAATAACTTCCGAATCCTCGCTGTAGAGCTCCTTCTTGTACTTCAAAGACTTGCGCGAGTCCTCAATGGCGTCGGGGTATCTGTATCTCTGTTAACGCCGGAGGTCTTCATGCAGGGTACCTCAGCAGGTGCTTACCTCTCATTCTCTAGGGAAATCTCGGCGAGAAGATCATGGGTATCCGCAAGGCGCTCCTTGACATGCCTGATGCTGAGTTTCTCACCATCAACTTGCTCTTGTGCTTTGCCATTAGGCTCCACCTTCTCCAACTCTTCCAGTTGTCTGCTGTAGAGAATGCGAGCCATGTCGAGCACGCCGAACGCAACAGCGAGATCGTCATCTTCTTCCTCTTCTTCTTCATCACCCTCGGCCTGGTAATAGGTTAGCTCCAATTGACAATCGTTGACGTATCTGACCCCGCAAGTCCTCAATCAACCCATTGATGAAAGAGCGAGACCTGCTCAGCCCGAGACCAAAGGAAGGGAATCTAGCTTACCTCTTCGTCATCAGAGTCGTCCTCAAAGTTTTCGTCGCCAGTGAACTGGAACAAGGGCTTCTTCTCCTCGACAGTCTCCTCGGGCTTCGCTCCGCTTGTCTCACTTGCGACAATCGCAACACCCTCCTCCGTTATTCTCTGCGCCTCGGTTTCGGCTGGCGCATCGGTCGACGCGGGCTCGGCAGTGGTCTTCTTCGGGGCCTTGGACTTGGGTTTGGCCGCCTTCTTCTCACCAGCGGCCTTGCCCCCGAGGACGTCGCTCTTGCTCTGGCCAACCTTGAACACACTGCGACCGTAGAGGAAGAGGATCTCAGCATTCGCAGGTTGCATTTCGCCATTGATTTCATCTTGCAGCTCCGCAGCCTTCGTAAAGCAGTCGGTAGCTTCCTCGTACTGCTTCTTTGCGTACAGAGCGGTTCCCTTGGCAGTCAGGTCGGCGAGGGTGACCTTCTTGGAGTTAACATCCTCTTCAGGCTCTTCGCCGACCGTGGCTGGCGTGTCTTGTTGTGTCGGCGCGAGCGCATCCTGCTTGATCTCTGGGTTTGCGACAGCCTCCACAGCTGGGGCCTCAGCGATGGGGGCCACTGCGACAGGGATCTCTGCGGCGATCGTGGGCTGTTCGGGTGCGTCGGCCATTGTGGGAATTGAATTGGAGTTGCTGATTGATAATTGGAAGGATGAAAGAGCAGAAGGATTGGTGGACGACTGGAAACAGGATGAACGAGGTAAGAAAGGCAATTGCGGAAAGAGAATTGGCAGCCTTTGTCAGTCTGTGGTGTGACGCGCGAGCTCTGGGGAAGGCGCGTTGATTGGGGAACGAAGCTGCAGGGATAGCTTCCGTTCAGCACGTTAAACGAGTTAAACCCAATCAAAATGGCGGGTGCGTGATGTGCTTCTTCACTGTGATTTGCACTGTATGTTGCATTAATCCCATGGATCAATTCTTGGATAGGCCAGCAGGGTGTCGCTGCCAATGCCTTGATTACATGTTTGCCTTGGCAATTGCCGTACGCCTGAATGTCATTCCCATCCCCTACCTATCTCCTCTCAACAATGCCTGGCCTCTGGCTTGAACCGCAAATATCTAGCTGGAGAAGGAACTACAGCTGCATGTTTGCTGAAGGCGTGCGACTTGGCTGTCCTCTCAAGTGAGCCGACGAGCCTTTGAAAAGACTCTGCCAGATGAAAGCCTCGCTCAGTAACAGCTCAATATCCTTCTCCGTCCAAGACTTTGTTGGCAAGCTTTGCAAAAACATCATTATTTCCTGAAAATCCATCTTGACAAGCTTATCCGACCACTTGACCAGGAAAGCCGCGCACACGTATAAATGAAACTCCGAAAAGCCTTGTTCTTCGGCCTGTAGGTGGTTAGATGGTGCCAGTAATCAGACGTCGACGGAATATTCTCACCAAGTACGTGTCCCACATCCTGATCGTATTCCTTACACTTATCTCTCTCATCAAGAGACAGTTCATCCATCGGAAGCTGAATTGAATGAACTCAACGTGCTCCTTTTCGAGATGCTTCGCCAGCCCTGCATCAATCCTTGCAGTAAGATCGCGGAGGGCCGCAACCTGCCTCTGAATGCCTGGCTGAGCCACGATGTAGTGGTCTTGTATACCGTCTAGCAGCTTTGTCAAGCACCAGAACGAATCTGCTTCTACAGCGTCAAGAACCGATTTTGGCAGCTGACCAGGGTCCATGCCCGATTCAATGTCGGAGTCTGCGACATATGTACTCAAGAAAACTTGCCAAAACGGCGTTACCAAGTCATTGATGCCCTGAACGTAGCCGCTGGCAGGGTGTCGCACTGCCCATAGGTACAGGATTCGTTCCAGAGATCTCTGGGTCGCTTCGTACGAGTAGAGTTCGATATGGGGATTCGTTCTTGGAACGTCGATACTGATCTGATGCCAGATCGCCTCGTCCAGCCCTCTCGCTTTTCCGGGTGCCGCGGCGGTGGTGCCGCTTCCCCCACTACTGCTGCCGCGTTCGAAAGCCTGCCTAACGCCATCGAGATACTCTTTACGTTTCCTTTCTAGAGTTGCGACTCTCCTCTCGCTGTTGGTCGGTAGGTAGCTCAGCAGCAGTTGCCATGTCATAGCGCGAACTTCCTGGGGAACGCCGGACCAAGCTAGTTGCCGGAGTTCCTGCAGCGGTATCGTTGACGCCTGCAAGAGCTTCTTGAACTTATTGATACGAGTAATTCGTGAATTCGCAGCGTCAATCTCTTTTGGCGTTGCATCGTCGGGTATAACTGGGTGATCGATTAGGTGCAGCGCGTTCGCCGGGTCTGTCGCAGTCAGCACGGTCCATACCAACATCACGCGACATCGCTTACCCCTCAAAATTTCTTTATACTGTGGACGCAAGATCTTGCCCTCGCTCTTTTTCGGCATTGGATAGGTTGGCGCAGGCCTTTCGATCGCGATGTCTGCACTATTCGAGTATCTCCTCGTGTGTAACCCTAAACCGAACGAGTCGTTCAAGGGCGACAGACCGCCGTTGGGATCTGACCTATTTTGCGCAGCCTTCTTGCGTGTTCGTCGCTTCATGTTGGACAGGCTTGGCAAGCCAAAGTCGTCACCGTCATCGTCCTCGTACCCCATCATGTCCTCCTCGTCTTCGTCGGCTTTCCAGTCATCGTTGGTGTTGGAAAGGAAATTGATATAACTCTTGATCGGAGGTGATGATAGGCCTGACTGTGGGCGCGACGGGGGAGAGGCATCGCTAGGCCGGCCTTTGGTAGAGTGTGAGGAAGGAGGTGTCTTCGGTCTGGAGGAGGAGCTGGACAAGTTGCTGGATCAAGTTAGCTGAGGGTGTCGGCGCGATTCCAAGATGGCAAGAGTTCGCACAGTGAGTCGAACTTGAGGATATCGGCATGAGAGTAGGCTGCTCCGACAACCAGATTCGGGTCGCGACCGGTTCTTTTCGATGCGTTCTCGCGTGGGGGCGGCTTCCAAAACGGCGATGCAGAACTACCCCAAGTCAGTTCCGAACTGCGCCGGCGATGCAGCCAAGGCAACGTACTCTGAGCGGTCTGCACCGTCACCGAAATATCAAAGTTAGCCAAGAATTTCCGAGCTTAGTCTCAAGAGCCGAGGCTATGCAGCAACGGGCAGCTCGAGTTCAAGAGGTATGACGAAACCCACCGACTTGGACCATCTCCTGCTGCGGGGCAATTAGCATGCGGTGACAGGCCCTGGCAGGGGTTTGGGGCAGCATACCTGTTGCGAGGGCTTCTTCCCACTCCCTGAAGAGGAGAACATGGTGATGCTTCTCTATTGAGACCGTGTCATTGTGTGTCTTGGTGTTGAGATGCGCCAGACGAGTCGCCTGAGCTCCGAACAAGTGACCAGTGGCCGGACCCTTGCCTCACATTAGTGTACCGCACGCCGCTTTGAGCAGCAGTTGAAGTGGAGTGGGGGAGGAGGTCACTGTGGCTGGTGGATGCGGTTTCAACTGCGTCGTTGTGGCGGCCGAGGTGCAAGTTTAAATGATAGCGCAGATGCTTCTTCCACCCTATATTGATGAGCTGGGAAGGAATCTGTGGAAGCCTAAGCAAACCACGGGAAACTACTCCCTGAGAGGGGGATTCTTGCAAGGGATGTCTTCCCTTATTACAAATGATAGATCTAACTATTGCGGTACCTTGCATGAACGAACTAACTTGACGGATACGGAGACCAAAATCTCCCAATCTCATTACATGCCGCAACAAGCCATTCTCCCAGTCGCCCGGTCACGTGAGTCTCCCCACTCAGGTACGGGACGATTCGGCGCTTCCCAACATATCGCAGCCGGGACCTGGACGTGTTGGAGTACCTTTGCGCAGCGCGCACGAGCTTTGCCGATGTTTGGACCTTTCTGTCCCTCCCCCAGTTTTTGTAGCTCTGATTGGATTGAGCACGCCCATTGGCTCCGCCACAGCCTTAGCTCCACCTTCCTCCTCTTTCACTCAGGCTCTTGCCTAAGAAATATCCAAACAAGCGCTGTTGCGTACACGACGACCTTGTCCCATCAACTTCTCCGCAACAACACAATACGTTCTTTACTCTCCATTTCCTTTCGCCTTCGTCTGCATCGACTCGCCGATTAAAATACGCTCGACACTTATAGAGCACTCGCCAGGATGACCGAGCCCGAGAATTTCGAGGAAGATCTCTTCGCCGATCTGTAAGTAACTACAAGTGTCGTCTATTACCAGGAAGACATGCTGATACGTGCCACAGCTACGACGATGACACGCCAGCGAAGCCAGCTGCCGCCCAGCAACCCGCGCCGCCTCCCGCTCCAGTCGCTGTTCCTCAACAAAGCGTCGAGACACATGCTGAGCCACCTCCCCAGCCTGAAGCGGAATATGGTGGCGGCGGTGGTGATGATCAAATGAAGTACGAAGAAGAGGATGACGATGATGAAGTAGACTTCAATCTAGGTGGTGATGGAGGCGGAGGCGGAGGCGGCGGCAGCGGCGGAAACACCGGTTACGCGCCGCCCTCGAATGGGTTTGCTGGCAACAAGCAGGAAGAACCCACGTACTCGACAAGCACGGCCAAAAACCCGAGTGCCAAGGAAGACGGGTAAGTTTTATTTGCCAACTACGTGATTGTTGCACCTGCTACACAAACCATCCCCCATGCACCTATAGTTGGGACGCATATCTCGATTGGATTAAGCTGAAGCACTTTTGCTGCGGTCTGAGGGAACTCGGGCATCAGTGGCCCCATGGTATCTCGTATCGGGCCTGCTTGGTCTTGGGAACTTGGATGGACAAGAGAGGGCATCAATACAAGACGTTGGCCAGCCACGTTTTGGGAAACATTCTTCAGGGCCATCAAGCAGGCCAAGGACAGAATTCAGAGAAGACATGAGAAGCTTGAAGAAAAGCAAGAAAGAGAAGCCATAAAGAGGTACCGCGAAAAAAAAAGTCAGCTGGAAAAGCAGCCTGAGATCACCGAGATATGCCGACGATAGTCAGTCATCAGTCAGTCAGTCAGATCAGGAGCACCCTCGTGCGCCTTCTATAGCCCAGTCGCAGAGAGAATATCCTGCGGTCTTTGGCTGCTGTAGCAAGATTAGCAGCGGATAGCGCTCGAAGCTAGAGCTAGCAGAGACTTGACGATAGCAAAAGACACGAAACATTCGACAATGACCAGGCTATCCGCTCCGCAATTCTCCCCAGACGTGAGAGAGTTTTTGTGGCTGGCTAGCGCTGCTCGCCCTCAACAATCACTTTGGCTGCGGCTGGAATCTGAAATCTTCGGCCTTTCCACAAAGGCACCGATACTGATGGAAACCAACCCATGCCCGTCACCTTGATGATTTTTCAACAAGTTGCTGTCTAAATCTGCCGCTGGCCGCGAGGAGGTACCCGTCAAGAAGCATGTTATGACAGACATCGATCAAAACACCAACACACCAACGCCAAGGAATGCGATCTCAGGCTGTTGCAAGCCAGTCAGCTTGTATCTTTAAGAGGTGGAAAAGACGAAGGCGGCCAGTCTATCGCTGTTCGACCGACAACTCGGCCAACTCATGGTCTCAAGGATGCCTGCCTCCTCTGTTGCAGCCATATGGCGGGAATTCTTATCGGCCATTGGCCCTTGTCTCGGTGTCCGGATAATGCCCTCATTGCATAGAACACGATCACAGTCGCATGACTTTTTTTCTGTCGAAGTTCTGAATTTTGAGTTGATTCACTGACCAATGTTTTAATGTCTGTAGCAAGATGTTTATTGGTGGCCTTAACTGGGAGACGACTGATCGTAAGTCTACGTTGTGCCCGCTACCACCGTGCCATTTTCTAACAGCTGCCAGAATCCCTAAGGGACTACTTCTCTCAGTTCGGAGAGGTTGTTGAGTGCACCGTCATGAGAGACAGCAGCACCGGACGATCAAGAGGCTTCGGCTTCCTGACGTTCAGGGACGCCAAGACGGTGAACATCGTTATGGTCAAGGAACACTTTTTGGATGGCAAGATTGTAAGATTCTCCTATGCCGAGTGCAATACGAGTTGGTCACTAATGGCAACCAGATTGACCCCAAGCGGGCAATTCCTCGCGACGAGCAAGAAAAGACCAGCAAGATCTTCGTCGGTGGTGTCAGTCAAGATACTACTGATCAAGAGTTCAAGGACTATTTCGCCCAGTTCGGCCGTGTGGTCGACGCGACCCTGATGATGGACAAGGACACCGGCCGCCCTCGCGGTTTTGGCTTCGTCACATTCGAAAGCGAAGCTGGCGTTGATGCCTGCCTCAGCACCAGTCTGGAGATTCACGGCAAGCCGATTGAGGTCAAGAAGGCTCAGCCGCGTGGCAATCTTCGCGAAGAGGAAGAAGCCGCACGACGGGGAGGAAAGTTCAGGAAGGGCGAAGACGGTGCTCAGGGTGGACAAGGTGGGATGGGAGGCGGCCAGATGGGTGCCGCAGGGGGAATGACGCCCCAGGTCATGGCACAATACTTCCAACGCATGCAGCAGTATTTCGCCATGATGCAGCAACAAATGGCTATGAGCAGAGGCATGGGTCCCATGAACCCGGCCATGATGCAGCAGATGATGCAGATGCAACAGATGCAGCAGATGCAGAATCAGATGATGGGTCGCGGTGGGGGCGGCAACGGGCAGCAGGGCATGATGGGCCAGATGACGCCTCAAATGATGCAGCAAATGCAGCAAATGCAACAACAGATGCAGCAGCAGATGGGCCAGCAGGGCGGCCCCCCGTCTGGACCCAGCGGCAGCTTCAGCCCCCAGCAGCAAATGTTCGACCCATCTCAAGGAGGCCAGCCGCCACAGCAACCCGGCGGCGGACAAGGACCGCGTCGGGGAGGCAGCAGCAGCGGCGGAGGTGCTCCCCGCGATCAGTACAACCAGGCTGGCGCATATGCCATGGGAGGTGGCGGCGGTGCTCCGACATCGTGGGAGGGCATGTACGACGACGTTCCCCAACCGAACCAGGGCGGCCGGGGAGGCTTCAGAGGCGGTCACCGTGGTGGCTCTCACAGTGGTGGCTCCCATCAGGGATCACCCGATCCAGCGCATGCCCCGCCTGCCAACGCGCCTACAGGACCCAAGAACGCGGGCAGACCCGGCGCTAATTACCGCGGCGGCGGACGCAGCAGCAACCGGGGATTCCATCCTTACTCGCGTTAGGAGTCTTTGCAGCAGCTAAGGAGGGCCTTCCTGGCATTGGAGACGGAAACACAAGGACGAACCGATTTCAGGGGGCCATGCCTTGTCGGCTCAAAGAGAGCCATACAAGTTTGACGGTTCGATAAAGGAGGGCGCTGGGAAGAAACTGCATATACGGAACGAGGTCCCGCGTTTTCTCCGAGACGGAGAGAAACCGGGACTATAACCGGGGTACGGCTTGGGTTTGGCAGCTTTGCTTCTTGCTCTCGCGAACTCTTTTTTCTTTCCTTTACACATCGTTTTTCTTGGGAAGTTTGTATTATACTCCAAAAGGGAGGGGAAAATTAACCATTAATCGGCGAACCTCAAGCCTAATTTTCTTATTGGCGTGAACCTTGGGAGTGTAAATGTGACATTGTGTCATGAAAATAAAGTGGTTGGGGGATGTAAGTTACGTAAATCATCATGAAAAGCAGGACAAACAGGCGATATGTTATTATATTAGAGTCTGTTCGAGGAAAGTCTTGCCCCTGCTTGACCTTCTGAACCGGGCCCGAAGCCGAAGTTGAGCCTGCGTGGGCGTCTTTCGGGAGGCGAGCCGAGAGCTCTGGGGCAGGTAAACCTACGACCTAAGGTAAGGTACCTTACGCGAAGTGAATAGAATGAAATTGCGATGCCATGCTCAGTTCATTCTACTATTATATATATGAAGCATTACTGTAAACCTTTTCTATGCAAGCTTCTTCTTTGTTTCTATTCTTCAATAACTTGCTGCCACCCCACATTCGATCTGCGATCTCTCCACTTGTTGAACGGGACTGAAGAAGTCCCGGAGAAGACCCAAGGGCCGGCGGGCGTCTACAGGAACAAATAGGCTGACGGTATTCAAAGTAGCCGCCCGCGGAAAGCGCATTTGGGGAGAGCTAAGTAAAGACCGAAGACATGTTAGCATGCAATTCAACATCTGCGGTGTTTTGAGACGTCCATTCCTCCAGAACGCCGGACAACCACCGAGACTTCTCCATATCAAGTCTGATACCCCTCGCTGTCTGTCGCACAGTTCCCGACTCGGTCATTCCGGGGGATAATTTAATGACCAAAACCCCACGTACGACGGTAATGGATGGGCTAAGATAGGAAAGCGAGAACCGAATATGGCGCGCAGGAGAGGAAAACCCCATATCATGACAAGTCTTTAACCCCCAACTGTCTAAGTAAGCAAGGCATGTGATTTCTAATCAACCCCCTCCGTTCCTCTACCCCTCCATCGTCCATCGTCGGCGTAACCGCGCAAAAAAGTCTCACAACGCTAGAGAACGGGAAAAAAACTGACAAACCATCCCCACCAAAGTCGCAAAACAGCTGGACATTGCTCGCGCCCTTCCGCGGCGCATTTACCATACCTTATTTTCGGTGCCCAAAATTCCAGACCATAAACTTTCTCTCTTTACTTTTCCCACCCTCCACCACCCAATCCTATTCTCCTCTTTTCCAATTTTGTTGACGTGATTTGAAGGCATCTGTCTGTGATTGGATAAATAACCGCACCTACTACAGGATCTTTGGCAACCCAGACGACCCCGCCGCCTATCGGGCTGAGCCGCAATCAACCTTGGAACGCTGCGCCTACGGACCAAAAATCGACCACCACCTTACCAATTGGACTACAGACAGACGACAAGGGCTTTTCCCATTCGGCTTGCCGAGACCAATTGCGCAATCGCAAGGAAGAGAAAACAACCATTGAAGAAAAGACGTTTCCACCTTTTTGCGAAGCGCCGTCATCCCGCCTCGAACAGTTCCGCCTTGTTTTCCCGCTCGGGACCCTTGCATCGTGAGCCTGCAGGGAAAAGGGAAGAAAAACCGACAGTCAGCCTGGTCTGACGTCTTATCAGAAAACCAACCCCTCCATACCGGGCAACGTATTTGTGTCTCACGACTTGTAGAGCCTGTAGAGAGTTGGTTTACTGTAGATGCTCTCCGACTTGATATAACAACCACTCTAATATCGGATCCTTTTTATCACAATTTTCCAAACATTTGCGGCCGGCGCGCGGAATTTCCTACCTTACTTTTCTCGGGCCGTTTTATTCACATAACTCCGTCATCGTCCAAAACGCCGATCACCGGCCAAACCCGGCCGTAGCCGCACCTCCTCCCAAAACAAACCACCAAAAAAAAGCCGTAGCCACACATCACCAGAAACCATGGGTCTCCTGCAAGTTTTTACCTCACACGCTCCCGCTATCCAATTACAGATAGTCCAAAGATGCAGCCTCTTCTAACACTTTTCAACGTAGAGCACTGGGAACCCCTCTCGACTGGCCAGAGGCCAAGAAGAGTGCGGATCAGGTCCGCGAGTGGGGTATCAAGGTTCGAGCGCCTCTCTCTGTCTCTTTGCCTCTCGCTATGAAACAACTTCACACGAGGCTGTTGTCGATGCTCGGGGTCATGAAAGTATTGCTGACCTGAGCCTGTTTTGGTTGGATTAGCAACTCCTAGAGATATGGAACAAGGCCAAGAGCAAAGAGCGCGATGCTATGCTCTGGGGTGATGAGGTATGTGAAAACTGGCGTGAGAGATGATGCTCTGCTGCCTCATAGATGAGTGCCGGCGTCTCATTTTCCCGCGACACTACTCAGATACTGTAAGAGATAAGAGCACGAGAGCTGACAATTTTCACTCAAGGTCGAGTACTTGGTCGTGACCTACTCAAAGGATGAGCCCAAGGTCCGTCTGTCTCTTAGACAAGCCGAGATTCTCACAGCACTCGCCGAGAGCCCGGATCTCGCAAAGGAGGGAGGCTGCGTACCAGAGCTCCAGGAAGTCGCCAGGGAACAGTCGTATGTTAACCCTCTATTCCTCTCTCTCACCCGCCAACAACCCGCCACATGTACCGAGCCATCACGTATTTCATCGAGGGCAGACGGAGAGCCTTGCCTCAGTTGATGCTAACCCCCAAACTATAGGTCAGTAACCCTCCCCGTCTTCCACCCGGAATTCGGTCGCTTCATGCTCGAAGCTACACCCGGCAAACCCTGGGGCATCGGCTTCAAGGAGCTCCTCGACGTAGAGCCCGACATGAAGCTCCGCCGCAAGATCGCAAAGGACCACATGCATAGCAACGAGTACCCCATCACCCTCACAACCTTCCCCCGCATCGGCTGCCCGGGCGACTTCACGGAACCCTACTACCCTCCCTCGGGCCCCAAACTCCGCTCCCAGTTCGTGCCCGACGAGATCGCCAACCCGCACATTCGCTTCCCCACCCTCGCCGCCAACATCCGCTGGCGCCGCGGCCGCAAAGTCCAGGTCAACGTGCCCGTCTTCCACGACACCAACACGCCCAACCCCTGGAAGGATCCCACCGTCAACCGCGACCTGCACAACTGGCCCGAGGACGACGACGTCCGCGACGGCGGCGCCGCCCCGGACAACTTTATCCACATGGATGCCATGGCGTTCGGCATGGGCAGCTGCTGTCTGCAGATTACCTTCCAGGCCAAGAACATCACCGAGGGCCGCAAGATGTACGACCAGCTCAGCCCGCTGGGGCCCATCATGCTCGCCCTGACGGCGGCCACGCCCGTGTATAAGGGATTCTTGGCCAATACCGACGTGAGGTGGAATCAGATCAGCCGGGCCGTGGACTGCCGAACCCCTGAGGAACTCGGAGAAAAGGTGAGATATCATTGACAAACACAAGTACCTCAATTCACCCACTCACCCATCCCTCTCCACATCTCACACCATGAACATCTGCACATAGATCAAGATATATATATCTGAACAACCTCAAGTGAAGATATGCTGACACAACAACACAGCCCCTGAAAAACGATCGCTGGCGCATCCCCAAATCCCGTTACGCCTCAAACTCAACCTACATCTCCACAGACCCGCGCCTCCGCCAGGAGTACCTCGACCCGAACCTCGTCATCGACGAGTCCATCAAATCCAAACTCATGGACGGCGGCATGGATGACCGCCTCGCCACCCACTTTGCCCATCTCTTCATCCGCGACCCCATCGTCGTCTTCGAGGAAGACCTCCAGGAGCTCGACCTCTCCAAGACGGACCACTTCGAGAACCTCCAGTCCACAAACTGGCAGCACATGCGCTTCAAACCACCTCCGGCCGACAACTCCATCGGCTGGCGCGTCGAGTTCCGCCCCATGGAGATCCAGCTCACCGACTTCGAAAACGCCGCTTTCTCGGTGTTCATGGTCCTCGTCACCCGCGCCATCCTCTCGTTCGACCTCAACTTTTACATTCCCATCACCAAAGTCGACGAGAACATGGAGCGCGCACACGCCGTCGACGCAGTCCTCAAGGAGAAGTTCTTCTTCCGCAGAAACCCCTTCCCCGGCCGCCAGGTCCGCGTCAACAACTTCATCCAGGGCGACGACACCGCCACTGCGAGCAGACCAGGCTCCCGCCCCGGCTCAGCAGTCCCAAGCCGCCCGCCAACCCCCGTCGGCCCCGTCGAAGACGAATACGCGGAAATGACAGTCAACGACATCATCAACGGCAACCCGGACTCCTCGGACAGCTTCCCGGGCCTGATCCCCCTCGTAGAATCCTACCTCGACAGCGTAAACGTCGACGTCCAAACCCGCTGCGAACTCGACACCTACCTCCGCCTCATCAGCCAGCGCGCCTCGGGCCAGCTCGACACCGCCGCCCGCTGGCTCCGCAACCTCGTCGACGTCCACCCGGGCTACCACCACGACAGCGTCGTGGGCGAGGACGTGCAAAAGGACATCATCGCCGCCGTCGTCGCCATCGGCGAGCGCGAGACGGCCGGAGCCGGGTTCGAGGGGTTGGATATCCACGGCCTGCCGAAGCTGCTCGGGAACTTCCGCCGGGGCTGCGGCGGCAGCGGAGAGCAGCAGCAGTTGCAGCAGCCGGAGGTCTCCGCGAGGAAGAGGAAGGCTTCTGAACAGGCTTAGATGCGGTGGCCACGTACGTAGGTCGGTACGTAGGGCGGTTTGGATCACTAGCACTATGGAGGCATGTAGACACTATCACGACCGAGGCATTGGGTCCCAAAAAGCAAAGACATCCCGAGGTCCAGGGGGTCAAGAAAGGGAATTGGGGGGGAAGCAGAGTAGGGTCTCGACGCCATCAGCCACATGGAAGCTCGCATGCGGCGGCGACTTGGATAGGATGCTCGTGCACGTAATGAACTCATAGACTCAAAAAGCATATAACAAGACAGCAATGGCAAGTCCAACCATGACGTATCCTGTATGTGAAGGGGATAGAGAGAGCGAGAGAGACGTCAGCCGTAGGTGTGGACTCAAGGACCAACAACCAATGCCAGCGTGCGAGTAACTGATTAAGCCAAATGCGTAGTTGGTCGCGAACATGTCTCAATCTGATCCTGCGTCGTCGATCCAAGATCCAAGACCAAGTGAAATCTGAAGTGGTCCACGATCCTGGATCGAGTGACAGGCCACAGGTCCTAGCCCAACATAGGCACATCAGGCTGCTCGACTTGTCTAGCCTGCCTGAAGGCGTCGAATTCACGGCTCCTATGAGAGCGGGAACCGGCGCACTTCCCGCCTTTCTCCAGCGGGAGTTTTGTTTGTCTCCCTCTCGCAGAGGGCTAGACTAGTAGGAAGCCAGGGATTATCATAGTAACTTGGAACCCGTGGCGGTATTCTTCTCGACCTACTAGAAAATGAGATGTCTGCGTGAACGTGTCCTTCCACTGCCGAGGCGTCTCGAAAGTGAGACAGTTATCGGGCTTCCAAATGACGAGTTCACTTTGCTGTAGCCTCTTGACTCGAGGCTGCGCGGCAATTACACAGCCCTTGGCTTCCAAGCCGCATGGCAATGTTCCGGAAAGCTGGGACCGGCCGTAAGTTCATGATGGAGAAATTGGAATGGCGCATGCTGATGGAATTTCCCGTTTCCATTCCACAGGGAAGGGATGACCCAGGAAGCCGGTAATCTGGGAACTAAAGGGGGGTGGGTGTGTGGAGAGAGAGGGCGTGTCGTATACTGGTTTTGCTTGCTTGCCCTGTCAGCAAGCCGAACGCCAAACCCGAAAATGAAATCGACACGGGGTGGTAGGTGTGATGTTTTCTAGAAAAGGCGCGAGCCACAGCGCTCTACATCAGTTGGGCCGGATGAGCTTGGTCAACCGCCAAGCCGTGTCTTGGATCTCGACCATGGCGCACGCCAAACAAGTGCGATCCTGTGGCGGGAATATTTGCACCGGCAATTCGGTTGGGGGAGGGTTTGCCATGGCATGCAACGAGGTCAGTTGAATGACAGGACGCTATGGCGTTGACGAGTTGGAGCCGGCTTGTTCGAAAGCGGACGATCCCTCTGGTTGCCCGCCCACTGTGCCGGCAAATTTCTGGTGATTTCAAGATGGCATTCCTCTGTAGATGGCCAGCTAGGTTGCCACCGGAAGGGGGGGGGGCAGTCAGGCTGCTGTCTGTGTATGGTTTGATATGCCGTCGACTGCCCCTTTTTCCACATCGAGCCATATCAGCCCCGTGGTGTAAGACAATAGGTATACAGCGCACCAGCAGCGACGTGTGCGGGCACGGTGCATCTTTCCACAGCACTGCGTCAAGAAGCTGAAGATAACCTAGGGGGGCTTCGGGCATTCTCATCAAATTAGGGCCAAGCCGCGACCTGTCACTTGGATCCTTTGAGGAGAGGTTGTGTGCAACTGTGCATCTCAGCTTGGCGGTTTGACCTCTGCCGAGTGATGTGGCAGGACTAGCGGACGGCATCGTCTGGGTTTAGGACCGAAGATCGAGGCCAGCACCACAGATAATCTGGAAGGATTCCACTGCTGTCCTCGATCCCTTGCTGCATTGAAGAGTCTCTGAGCGAATGAGACGCAGGCTGAACGGTCATGCATGGAAGTTCAGTCCAGAACTTGAGAACCGAAGTATGGCTCATTTCCTTACGTTCCTACACCGATAGCGTTGCCGCCACAGCATTTGATGAGGTAGGGAGAGCACGCAGCGCTTTCACGACAGCCTTGCTTTCGGTATAGCCATGTCGCTGCGTTCAGAAAGGCCACCACTCTGACATGTCGCGTGGGAGTCGTGTGGGCAGGCTGAAGCGGCCTGGAGGTGTGATCCGCAAGCGGACTTGATCGACGCGAGGCGCCATGGTTCGATTGCTGGGCCATCATGACGTAGAAGGCTGGGCTGGACGTGCGATGCGAAATCTTTACAGACCACGCTATTGATGAGGCAGGAGCTAGTTTCCCGCGCACGGGATTGTGAGCAATTTGGGACTGGTTCAGCAACGCGAGGCGGTGCTGCGACCACTAGCTGACTTGGAATATTCGTATTGGCTGTTGGATCGCCATGTGTTGTGGATGTTTGGCAGCAACAGCGGACAGGCATGGCGAACGGCCGTAGGAACGGTATTGTGGACTTTGTGACGGGTCACCAAAGGTCGGCTGCGATGATGCCCACCAAGACCATTGGCGCACGGTACGAGGTCGATACGCACACAGGCCGTCAGATGTGACAAGTTGTTGCTTGGAGATTGGCGAGCCGGTTGGGCGGTAGCGCGGCCAGAGACGGATGGAAACGCACCCTTGCGCAGACACACGGGTGTCAGATCGTTTGATGAGATCCAACCAGATCTGGACCCGGTGACCATGCGGGATGGAGCGTGGGAAGCCGGAGCAAATCGGTGGACTAGGTAAGGGATCTAGGCCAGAAAGCATGGCGAAGCGAAGGGAAAAGGCTCAAAGCCGTATAGAATCGTACGATGTCGTCCATGGAGAAGCGCGAAGGTTTGAACGCCAAGTCGAATATGGACAATGGAGGTGCCGTTTAGACAAGCCAGGCAAGGTCTAGAGGCTAGGAGAGCAGGTGGCGGCCAGGGACCTGGGCTGTACCATGGCATTCTCTCTGTTCCCGTACGGACCCATGTGGCCCGAGTCGGCGTGTTTGAAGGGGGAGGGGAACGCTGTCCTTCTACACACACTATTGTCTGCCCGTTGTCGTCGTTGTGTCCCTGCTTTACGCCCAACAGAGAGGAACGCCATCCGCGGCTAGAAGCAAGGAATCCGTGGACAGCTGGGGTCTGGCAGCTGGAAACGATAGGGGAGCGAAGTCCTCACGACTCATACTGTGTACATTGTGCCACTCAGCATCACCGCAGGGCGACGAAGTACTGCGGCTAGGTGTCGGTATGGATCAGGGAGAGAAATGGGCCGGGCCCAGATCCAAAGATCTCAGTAGCATAGCTTATCTGCGTTCAGGGCTTGGGGAAACCCACGTGGCGGGGAAAAGGCACGGAGCTTTGCGCCATTGCAGAGATCAACGGGCAACGGACGTTGTCTTGGTGTATGGCTTGGGCTAGACCAGGCCGGGCGACGAAGTGATTTCCCAAAATGCTTTGGTGTCAGATGGGAAAGTGAAGTGTGTAAATTAGGCGTAGATATTGCTCTGGTCGTTGGCGTCCATTCTGCTCTGCAGCAACTGCCGTCATTGAGATCGGCCTCATGAACTCGTCCGAGCATTTCTAAATGTCTTTGTGTGCCCCAAACAAGACTCCCGAGGGGTAAACTCCATGGAAAGTACGCTCTGACGTGTTCGAAGTTCCTCGGGCGGACGTAATAAGCGGAGTGTTCCTATGGGGTCGACACGAGAGGCTAGAGAGATTGGATAATGACCCTAGTATGTATGTATGTTGGATGGATTGTAACTTGTCGTTGGAAGGGGGTGCAGGGGAGCTGGAGACGACGTTGGACACGAGAGCGAGTGAGGATGAAGCGATGGCAATGATCCTGGAATCCTAAACAGTCCGTCAGATGGTTGACAGGCAATATGCACGATACGAACCCAAAGATCGGGTCGCGCTCGCTTTGGAGAGCTCCACTGTCACCGCAGGTGAGGGGCCGATCTTGCAGTCGTGGTCGGCAAAGAAAGAAAAAGAGGGACTTGAAATTCCAGGAAGGTTGTCATTTGTTGCTGGTCGTTGGTCACCAGGCGGGAGGAGGGTTGGCCCGGTTGAGTTTGTAAGTGGAGACAGTGACGGGGGGGGGAACAGGAACAACAAGAGATTGTTACTTGATCAGGTACGGGCAATGTACCTTAACCTCTACCTCGGGCCCGGAGTGGAGCTCTAGTGTCTCCTTCCTCGTGTTCATCGGCAGGGAAAGGGCCGCGTTATGGGATGTTATTGGGTTGGGGAAGCTCTGACCGAGGTGGAGCATAGTGCCTGATCTCGCATGGTATGGAGACTTAGTCGACAGGTACATTGTAGATACAAGCTTGGGTAGGTAGTCTGTAGGTTTTACCCATTCTCCATCAAGTGCCCGAGTGAGGAGGATGGGAGTGGGAGTGGGCAGCAACAACGTTCGATCATTCAATAGCTCACTAGTTCCTACAGGTTGGCTGGAGACCAGAGGATCATGACGGGGCCGGCCAATCCGCAATGGGCAGATTACTCGTGAAGACTTGGTTCCAGAACGACCAGAGTTTCAAACCCTGTAATAGAGCAGGCAACATTGGTGAAGTATGACCCTTCAAACTGTGAGAGAAAGTTCGTAATGTGCGTAGTATCTAGGTTGCTCAGAAATGGTGCGACTTGAGGATCTGAGTCGACAAAGCTTACCCCACGATCCAGCAAGCACGGGATGCCCGAGCACGATTTTACTAGGTACGATGGGCCAAGCTGCCTTACCATGGTTTGAGCAAGCGGCAGAAAGGCAGATGATAAATAAGGTGGGTGGATTTGCAACATGCCTTCCTGTGAATACCATACTACGTGACGGGCAAGGTAGGCCCTTTGAGTGAAGAGCGATGCATGGCTTGGAACCTGGAAGCCACGGATTGCTTTGTAGAAAGAAGCCTGGGCTCCTGCTAAAGCATGGAAGAGATGAAGCCCGCTAAGACGTTGACGATGACGGGAGTTGGAAAAATCACGCCACAAACGAGTCGTGAGAGGTGAGAATGGGACGAACATTTCGCGGACGTAGCTTAGTCTGGCAGCTGGAGAGACAGCCAGGGCTGTTGTTGAAGGATGAGGTGACATCCCAACCTTGAACCTTGAGGAATTTGGAACGAAGTATCCATTCGGGAGTGCGTCTTCGTTAGGTAGACAGAATTAAGGTACGAGGTGAGCCCGGTAAGTTAAGGGAAGAAAGGTACGTTGTGAGGCATTTTACAGCATGGTCCTTCCTTCGCTCCGTCATGTCGTGTTTCTCTCTTACCGGGTAGGCACTTGCCTTACCTTAAGGTACCTTAAGGTATGGTGTTGACTTCCAGTGTGGTGTGCGGCGTGCCCTGTGGAAGGTGCGTAGCAGGTAGGTGCGTACTCCGGACAGAAAACAACGGGCTGTGAGTGGAGGAGTGCCTTCCATGAGAGGATCCACCCCCGTTTTTCCCGCCCAAAGTGAATCGCAATCAAATCGACGCAAATCTGCGATCGCATCCGGGGAGCCGCCGGGGTCCGATGTGGGCCGCCTAGGTATCGCCCACTTAGGTAATCTCCTGGAGGGAAGCCCCAGCCCGACCTTCTTTCCACCTTTTCCACCATCATCTCACTGTGAGAAATGGCAGCAAGTACCCTCACGTACCGCTCCTCCTGTGTCTCCCAGAAACTTCCATTCCCACACCCCCCCGTCCGAGGTCTCATCAATCCAATCAACTAGTCCACCCAAAATAGCGCCGGGAATTTTCCAAGAGCTTCCGCGATCGAGCTGCTAACCCTGTTGATCTGATTTTGGGTTCCATGTTCCTCAATGTCCCTCAAGTTCCTCACACCACACAACACACACACCACACACCACTCCTCACACCACTCCTCACACCACTCCTCACACCTCAGTCCCGCTGTCGCTGTCCCTCATACACTATTCGTACAGACCACATCAGACTTTCACTTTGGCACTCGGCATCATCAGCCACCAATCTATCCGTCTTGACTGCCTCAGCTTCTGATTGCACTCCCCCATCAGCAGAGTTCAATGGGCTTTCGGTAGAACCTCCAAGAACAGCGCACTTCAAATCCACACAGCAATTTTGCAATTCCCTCCACCCCAGACCTATCATGGCACATGGTAATTGGTACGGATACCTGTTGTCGGGGCTGCTGTCCACTTCTTCCCACTGACGCGCTCCTTAACAGGGACAACCGTGGTTTCGGGTCGGCGCCGGCGCTATACCACAGTACGACAGGGACGCTGCTTCCAGGGATGCTACCCTGATTCTCACCAGACGTTCCGTACGGAGCATCATCCACCCTCGGCTGGCGCGCATGGTTATACAACGGCGCCCTCCTCTATTATTGTGCGGTTCCTCATTATTGTGCAGGGAAGTACGACGTATTCATCTAGCCATCTCAGATCAACTCCAGATGACGGATAACAGTCTGTTCGCCGGCTTGGGTGGGATGGAAATAGCCCAGTTTGGTCGCAAGCTAATGAAGCAACCCGAACTGAGCCAAGCAACGATAGCAATAGCGAAATGCGAGCGGGAGTTCTTCTGCCTACCGCTCCGCGATCTACACCTGATCGTCACTGACAAGATCTCATATGCATTGGAGGTCTCTGATCATTCAAAGAGCGACCATTGCGGCTACGGAAACCAAAGTAAAAGCAACGTAAAGTATACCGCAACATGACTAGGTGCAAACTCAAGTCAGCTTGTTCCAGGGCAGAAGTGGGATGCCCAAGCTGCCATCACTCAATCAGGTCAAGTTTCTATTCCTCTTCTTTGGACGGAACTTTGGTCTAAATGTCGGCCAGCATCTGAGTACAACCCAACCCGGCAGATGGACTCAGATCCAGCCCAAACACCACAAGTCCACATCGACATACCCGGATGCGCTATATCCAAGGGCCGTCATCTTGTGAGATATTGTGCCCAGGAGGAATGGCATATGGGCTTCCATCAAGCAGCGCCTCTTGTTTCTTGACTCCGTCATGGCCATTGTTCCACGGAAAGCCCACCCGAGCTACGAGCTACCTACTGAGGCACGTTCGGGCTTCACCAAGACGAGACATGACGGTCTGGTCTTGTCTCATCTCGCTGCTACGCCCAATGTGTTCTGCTCCTCTTGAACTCTACCAGCCACGCCACGCGGGACCATTCAGAATGAAACCACAAGTTGTGTACAGACACCACGCCGACTGCAGATTGACACCAGCACTGGCCAGGTTGACGGCCTGGTTTCTCCACGACCGGAAACGCTGCGTTTCCTCGTCAGCCGCCTAGTGGCCTGTCACATCCACTTTCTATGCAAGATGGCAAGATATTCTGCCCGTCCTCAACTTCGCCCTGGGCCCTGGCCACCAAACTCAAAATGTGCGATTATTGTTCCTCTAGAGATCGGCCGAGATGAGGAGGAGCACGTCCGCCACCACGTTAGCGACACAGAAAACCTGATGCAACGCGGCCCTATTACACACTGGAATGACTCGGACGCCCGTTCGACGGCGCCGAATAGTCTCTCCGCGGCTATCAGACTTGATCTCCCGCCTACAGACTTTTGACCAATATCACTTTGATCGTCTTAGCCCTTCGGCATCTATATCTGGGATCGGTCATATTTCTTTCCCGAGTTAACGCCACCTTGCTCAAGCGAGATTTACTCATGTCCAGCCTTCAAGCCACCGAGTCTGAAACCTTCAGCGTGGTCTCCGCGTTGTCCAAGCCAAGCCCAGTGAACAAGATATGGAAGGTGGAAGTCGGGCGCTAACCGTCAAAACCGCACAGCTTGCTTAAACGGGCCGTCTCACTCTTGGAATGCTGCAAAGGAGAGCATGTTCAATCTGCTCCCGTGACACTGACTTCCAGGCCTGCCACGAGGTCTCTCACGGTGAGCTGGACCCTTGTCGAAGCCCACTTGGACCCATCCCGATCCTCACGAACCTGCGCCGTCCTCAACATCATCATCACCTATACGGAGGATTGCCTGGACATCCTCGCAGCTCACGAACCCCGTCATCAAACCTGTCCACCAGCCCCTCATCGGTCAATACTGCAAGTCTCTCAGATCAGCACTCCTCATGCCCAGCTGGCGGCGTTGGCCTGGCCTGGACTCTACACGAAGCCACGCAACACGATGCCATCCTCTGTCCCCCCTCATTATGCTCCCGCGAAGCTCGCATAGCGCGAAACAGAGATCTCGAATAGATGCAGATGCGCCTGCTTGCAGCTTTTGATTCTGATGCCGTTGTACAGCCCTACACTCTGTCAAACAATGCACAGTGACAACAGCCATGCGCGGTTGGTAGCACCATGGCCGACCTTTTGCCATGTTTCGCCCCTCTTCATCTTGGAGAAGGATCAGCCGGTCCAGCCAAAGTGGCCTAGGGACGGATAACCACTGGTCTGCCCACATGGATGAGCGCTTGGATTGGGCCGAAAGACTATTGAAAGGGCGACGAGAAAACTCATGTTCTTGCACCGTACCCATGCGTCGCTCCATCGATGCATGTAGGGTGCCTGGAGACCTGCGGCGGAAGGGTTCGTCTGCACCGCGCGGGCACATGGACGAGACGCCGAGACGCGCCACCTTGGACCTTGGGCGCCGCCATTCCTCTTCCATGCCAGACCAGCCGGCCCGGAGCCGATGTCAGCCAACGTTGTGCATGCGGTGCACACCGAGTCTCCCGTATGCCATGCACGAGCCCACTTCACGCGGGCCTTTCGTTCTCGGAACGAGACACGTTACGATGCCGCAAGCAGAGGAGCATGCAACGTCCTGACGAACTTGTGCTGCGGAATCCAATGCAGCCTGCTACACCACCATACTCTTTTGTTCCGACCGTCTTCGAATCGACGAAATACTTGGTACGGATACGCTTCTCATGCTTTTTGGGTCTCGAAAGTTCACAACATCCACCAGAATACCACCAAGGCCTCCTTCAAATTTCCCAGCGTCCAGATACCGGCAAGCCCCAAACACATCTTTGCATCCCGTCAAAGTCAAAATCATTCCATCAAGACCAGGAATGTGACTCGTAACCTCGCCTCGAGAGAAATGCAACCAAAGTCCAAAACAGCCCTCGAGCCTCTCCATAAAAATCCCCTTTTTGTCGAAACAAGATCCATAAACTGATGGCAATCTATGATCTGTGGCATCGGCATCCACTACAAGACGGGGACCCAGATCAAGGCATGCAGCGAAGTATTCCCCGGGGCGGTGATGGAGGAAAAATGTGACGAGTTTTTGGGAACTCCATCTCCGTACCCCTTCGCGCTCAGCGCGCCTAGCCGCAAGTGGTGGTCAATGGCACGCACGTCACGCATAATCCTTCCAGATAGACTTTTTCTCGGTTCCCTCGAACGCCCCGTCGCGATGCCACATGGACCGCATCTCGAACCATGCTTATACTTTCCCCATCCTTTCACTGCCCTCTGGAATTTGGTACGGAAACCCAGAACTTGGCATCTGAGCACGGCTGCCAAGCCCGACACAAGGTCCCTTTTTCCAACCTTCCATTGTGGTTCCGCATGGACATTGGGAGAAGGGGGAAACGTTTACTTGACTAATGTGCGGGACGGAAGGTCCATGTCTCCCCGCTTGTCAGCCTTTTTTTTTTTGGTTGTCGAACCTCCCTCCGGCATGATCGTAGCTATCCCGCCAGCCAGGGAACCACGACAACGAGATCCTCCTCCTCGTCGTCGTCCCAAGGAAGCCGAACCCTCGTCTGTACAAGGCACGATGAGGGGGTTCATGGGTGGTAACCCGTCAAAATATCCAACGCCCGCCGTGCGGTTGGTTTAGAACAAGCCAAGCGACCCCCCGGTCGAACGTAGGGGACCTTTCCGGGGGCCAGCCACGCAGCATTTCCGATCGTCCTTGTTTTGGACAATTCCTCTACGGGCGGTAGATTCACTCAAATCAAGCCAAATAATACCTACACCACTCAACTGCGTACGGCAGGCGACCACAACAGGGAAACCGTGGTCAGTCAGGTTCCTTTTCCTGCAGAGCCCCAGGACAGAGGGGGGCGAGCCATGATCCATCGACCATTCCCGTGCGCTAGAAGCCATGGAAAGAAACGACACACCCTCCATCGACGGGAGAAGCACAAGAGAAAGAAAGAAGAGGGGACGGCGAACGGCGGCAACGGAAGACAGATTGAGGCAGGAAAGCAAATCGTAACGATTTACGGGAAGACACACAAAAGGGAGAGGGAATTAGGGGGGAAAACAAGAAGATGGGCGCAACGAACACATCACCAGTTGCGACAGCTCACATGCCACAAGGTCAAGCAGCGGCGCGCATCGCGAATTGAACAAGCCACAGCCGCCCGCACGCCTTCCCCCCCCCCCCCAAAGGGGAAAAAACTACCAAGGAGAGAAAAAGGAAAAACAGACTTCTCCGTCGCCGCAGAGAGGCAGAGAAGGCGTACGTACGGTGTACCTCACCAAGGGTTGGAGGTCAAGAAATACGACCAATCCTTCAAAGTCGAATGGGTGGTTTACGGGGGGCGCTTGTCTGTCAGTTTGTTGCTGCCACACCCCCTCTTATCCATGCTTCACCTTACGGCGATGTCGGTAAGATGCACACCTCCTCCACCCCTCCAACCCCAACCAGCAATTGCATTGGCATCGCTCGCATTACTCGCACTCATGTCCTGGGCATCAAAATGTCGTCGGTAATGCTAGTTTGTACAATGACACACGGCGGCACGTACAGCACCGACAATACAGGCCCAGTGCCAGGTCAAGCTCGCTCTGGAAAGGCTAGCTACGGCCGATGCATTGTAAACTGCCTAAATTACAGCAGCCTGACCCTTCTGACTCTTCTCTGCCTGGTGGTGGTGGTGGTGAGTTCTTGTTTCTTGTGTAATGCTGAAGTCGCGACTTTTAGTGACATCCACACGCACACCCCAGACTTTTTTGTGTACCCTTCTTTTTCCTCCCGTCGAATCGGCAAGGGGAAGGAAACGGCGCGGGAAAAACAACGAAATCTGATACTTGTACGGGACTGGGTGAGAGGGGAGAAGGGGATCTGACATGACACAAGAGGAAGGCTGTTGCACAGAGAACAAGCAGCAAGGCAAGTTTACCCTTCCTTTAGTCACCATCCGCGTACGACGTCTCACGAACACCGATATGAACAAGCAGACTACCCGTCTCTGCGATCTAGGGCCCCCTCCTCTTTCACGCTACCCAAGTACAAGCCACGCGTTGCTCTTCCCTCTCCATCTATCGTATTTCCATATGTACCTCTCTTCTTGTCAACCCCATAAATACGAGTATATCGTACCCTGCCAGCCTACCTAACCTTGCCCACGTTGCACGCGGCGGAATCGGCGGACGGCGCGACTGCACGGTATATGTGCCATCCATATAGATAGATACCACGTCGTTATACGTTATACATCGCGATAGTGCATGTACGGATAGATGGGCACGCCCTGCTTGCCTCCATCAGCCCCCCTCTCCCCCAATTTCCTTTTGTGTCACCAAAGAAATTTTGAGATGCGTTGGCTTGTATTTTCCTGCCTTTCTCTTCCGAAAGGAAAATCAGATATGCGGTCGCCTTGCTAGGTGCCTCGCCGGCCTTGCCCTTTCCGCCTTACAAATCCATCCAATCAGAAGTCTGTTGATACACACCTCAGAATGGAAATCTACATGATATGATTCTCGACCAAGCTCCCTCCCTACATTGTATTTGTACCTGCCCAGCGCTTACACAGTACAGCCTGAGTGACCCGTTCCCCCGATGAGGAGGGGCGTGTATGTCTCGAAGTTGGTTCTTCTCTCAGACGGAACTGCTGACAACTAGAGGAGCCAGGTGAGCAGGTACCTGCTCACTTTCTTACCGATACGTTTCTATACAAGTGTATCTGCGTATCTCGTGCAACATCGGGGGAGGACCCCCCCCCCAAGGCATATTGCTGATGAATGGATGAGGGGCAGATCTGAAATCTTTTGAAGAGGGCAAAAGGACATCACATCATGTCAAATCCAACTCTGATGCGCCGTGGGTTTTGCCAAGCACCCAAGTCTTCCTTGGGTCGTACATACATCAGATCAGATCAGAAACTATGACAAGCGACACTTTTTTTTTTCTTTCCATCCATTTTACCCTGTTGAGATTCAGATCCGTTGCGCCCTCCCCCCCCCCCCCCAAATTCTGCCCCCTTCTGGCGCACGTTTGCGAGATTACCCTGGACCTTGACCTCTTTTAATCCTTTTCGTCTCGTGCGTCATCATGTTTTAAGAAGATGATTCAAGAGCTTTGAATAAATATTGTCTGTAAAACATGAAGCACGAAATCTGGAATCTCATCGGCTCCCGAGAACCGCGCGGCAACGACCCATTACCAAATACACACACACACACCCAATTCATTTACTTACTCACACACCCCGTTCCTTGGGGAAAGGCTCACGTAAACAGGGAGGGGCCTTGTAATTCCGCTTCTCTATCGATCGACTTTCTCTTGTGATCTCACACCATAATACACATAATGTGTGCAGAGTACGTACATGGTATCCGTACCCTCTACCACGGCACTCGAATCTCTGGGCCTTTCCGGGCGAATTCTGAACTCTCAAGTCTCAAGGTCCATCCCTCTTTCCCGCTGCGAACAGCAATAGGCGCATTTCTAAATCTGCATACACGCAACCCCACATCGTATTTACAGGGACATTCCTTACATCTTACGGGAACATGGCGGTACCTATGTCAATAAAGAATGCCAAGTTTGCGAGACAAGAAAAAGAGTTAATCGATCTGTGTCCCGGTTGAGCCGGCCATCTTACATCCCATCTCATCCCGACTTCTTTCTTGTTGTTCCACATGACATCCCCGTGACTGAATGTGTATCGGGAAACCCACCTCGTACTTTTTTTACGATCTGATGCTTCCTCATCTGAGGCCACCCAGACGGCGGTGGATAGCGAAAGGGTTCCCCCTGTTCACGCCTTAAGGAATTCGAGCCTCTCTCGGCAGTCGATGTCAGAGGAGAAAGCGGTCTGGGGATCAACAAAGGGGCAGATCAAGTACCGAAGAATGGTCAATACAAAAGATCCCAGCTTTTCATGGAGAATAATCCATCCCCCTTAGCCAGCTAGCCAGCCAGCCACCGCCCTTTCTGACTACCGCCAGGACCGAAAACGACGTCTGATTGTGGCGTTGTTCTGGGGTCGGGTCAGAGGTAAGTGACCGTAGGAAGGTAAGTAGTGGTAAAGGTACTCGGCGGCCACATAAACACACACACACACACCACGTGGGACGGACGAGAAGACAGAACCCTGACGTTGACTGTTCTGGTCACTTCTCACATCAAACATTTCCCGCCCAAAAAAAGATTAAACACTTTTTGTATTTTTTCTCCCCGAGATTCCCGCTCCCGCTTATCACGCTTCCGAGATCGAGAAAAAGGGTGAAAGAAGCAAACTTGCATCCACTAACACCCACCCCTTCCCCCCTTCCCCCCGGCCTAGGTAGGACCCCTTCCACTCCATCTGTTCACCGAGTTCCTCATGGCTTTGCATGTCATTCAGTCGGTACTTTTCCTCTCAGTGGCCAGGGGGCATTTGTCAACAGTGAAGCAGTATTACTATACCTCTTAACACCCTGAGATACGGAATGCGATGATGAATGATTCAGATCTCCCTCCACTTCAGTTCTAGGCGTCTCCTGGCACATATCATATCATTCATGGTATAGGCTAAAAGTTGTGAGCGGAAATGTGGCTACCAAATGGTTTTTGAAACTTCAAGTCTCGGTTATTCATCAGATTTCTTGAATCCTGCTTTGAAAGGGTAGGGTAGGTACAACTGAGCCGCCCTCCTAGCCTCCTTTTCCGCCACTCCTAGCCGCCGCCGCCGCCTCCCGTGGTATTTCGCCTTGTATGGCTACTCGTACAATTAAAAGTCAGCTAAAACTGTATTGGTGTTGTGTGCCCTCGCTTGGTCCGTGGCATCAAAGGGGGATCCAATCCCCCCATCCCGATTTCCCTGGAACATGTGTAATAACAGTGGTAAGAAATGCCAAGTTTGCACAACCTTGCGCCCGAGTTGAAGTAGAGTAAAAGAAAATTTTGCCCGTTTTTGTTTCTCGCGAGAAACACGACTCCGACATCCGCCGTCTACTTCTCTTTCCCCCAAGAGGACTGATCGAAACGCTTCACGCCTTCCCGACGTGTGCTTCTTTTGCTTGTTCCTCGCCGGGAAACACCATCTCTTCTGGCAGTCGCAGATAAGGAAAAAATGTTGAAGGAAAAGATGATAAGACGTTGTTTACTTTGGTAACGATCGACTGTTGGTCTGCGGTTGTTCGCTCCAAAGGCGTGTCTTGTGGCGTCCTAATTTGTGTGACGCCCCATTTTGTCTAAAAAGCCGATGTTCCGCTTCCCCTTTACAGGATGTGAACAAAACAAGATAAGGAAAGTGTCGAGATGAAATGTAGTAAACGCCGCCGGATGAATGCCTAGTCCCTTGGTGCCCGTCCGATGAATATGTTGAAGAGCAGGATATATACAATCAAGATGAAGTCGATGCCGGGTATTGAAAAAGAAAAGTTGAGGTAAAGTAGGTGTAGCCAGTTTGTTGCTAGTGAATGAAGATAACGCAGTGCAGGCGCTGCTGGATGGATAATAAGCCGTTAGGCAGTAAAGGGGTATCTGTTATGTGTGTATAGCTGTGTGTGGTTGTGTAATGGCGCGGACCAGGCCGAACGTCTTGTCAAACTGGTTGTGACCGGCCGATGAAGATAGAACTCGTCCGTATATGTACTGTGTGTATGTATCCCTGGTTTTTCTTGATGGACCGAGGCGGTTTTAACTCCTCTCATCAGAGGGCTTAGGTCGGATTTGTCGAGCCTCGAGTTGGCGCTTTCGCTCCAATTTGGCGTAATGCAGTCCACATGCGTTGCAAAGTGTTCGGGCACCATCAGGGCCTCGGCGCCATTCCGGGGTATCGATTCGGTTGCAGCTATGGCATCTTCCAGGAGGTGCAGCTCTCTGTTCCACCAGATTAGCACTCTGATTCTCCGACAGATCAATCGCGTGATTGACAAAACTTACCCCTCTGCGCTTCTTGACTTCGGTGATGCCATAGGCCTTGTTCATGCCGTCGTACATGGGTGTGTCTTCGTCATCGTAGCCCTTCTGTTTTCCGGCCGCCCGTACACGTTCGTTGCTTTCCTTAACAACTTGTCGCACCGAGTCCAGTGAGTTTCGAATGTACTCCACATTGTCAATCATTTCATTCAATTCCTGCTCGGTTGGAAGTCGGTCGTGCAGTGGATGATGAGCGCCCTGTTGTTCCGCAGCAATCTTGCCGTAGGCCTCGGCGAAGTTATAGATCGTTCTTGTTGCTGAACCAATCTGAGTGAACTTATTGGTAAGCTTGACGGACAAAAGTTTCTAGCGGGGCCACTCACTCTAGAAAAGCAATCCTGATAACCCCAGGCGTCGAGGTGTGTCCTGACCCGCGCAGGACCATACTCGGGGTCCTCCCTGTGAGCTGTCGGACGCTGGGCCTCGTAGGGAAAAGGGGGAGGTGGACCGGCGTGACGCGGAGAGACAGGATACGCAGGCAACGGGACTTGTCCTGGCGGAAGCTGGCCCGGGTGCTGGGGATGCGGATATATCGTCGGCGGAGGCGGGATGGAATGTTGAGCGTATGGGCCAGTGTTCTCGGCGGCGCGCGCATCGCTCTCGCGCATATCCCGCATATGCTCATGTTTGAGAGGAGGGCTGGGCTGGGGTCCAGAGAACCCGCCCAATGGTGCAGGCGGTCGACCCGCGAATGGAGGAGGTCTCGGGGGATCTGAGATAGCCGGGAGAGCATCTTGCCTCGGCGGGAACGTCGAAGCAGGAACAGGGGGTCGAGGCGAGTTCTTGTCCGTCGACTCGGCGTAGGACCTTGGAGGTCCAGGAGCAAAAGGCGAGGGAAAGCTTTGAGAGCCTGACATGCTGGAACCCTGAGAAGGGGGGTAAGGACTGGGCTTCGCGCCAGAGATGACCTCTGAGAGCGAAGGGAGCGACTGTCGGTGAGGAGTCTCCGACTCGTCTGATGGTCGTCGAGGTTCAATCGGCGAAATCATGCCTGCGATGCTTGGTCCTGGAGCTGGGTGGTGTTGATAGCCGGAAGAGAAGGACGAGGGATGACCGTAGTGGGAGCTCGGGCTAATAAGGGCTGCGGTCGCCATGGCGGGGCCGTCGCGGTAGTGTCTATTATCGAGAGGCTCTCTGGGTGGGAGATGACGAGGTTCAAAGCGATCAAGGTTGCTGGCAGAAGGTGGACGGCTGTTTAAAAGGTCTGATTAATACTTGGGTCTAGGGGCAGGACGTGGGAAACATATCAAGGCCCAAGGGGGGGTGGGCGTCGAGGGGAATCGAACCTACCTTTGCCTAGTACCAGATCCGCCCGCTTCCATAGCGGGTTTGCCGGGAGAACAGATGAATGGTGATTAAAACCCCAGATCCGAATGTAGGTCTCTGTGCATCTGACTCGACCAAAGCGTGAGGGGACGAGAGCAAGCCTTAGTCCGTGAGGTCGGTGTCAAGACGGGAGTCCGGTGAAGTTTGGTGTAGATGGGTGGAGATGATAGGAGAGACTGTCCAAGGTGGGAGGCTCAGAGTCATGTAAGAATAAAAACCGGGCAGGGAAGAAGGGTTACAGAGACGAGTGAGAGAGTGCAAGAGTGAAAGATGGGCGAGCGAAACCAAACCAACCAAAGACAGAGTATATGGTGGTAAGGTGTGGTGTGGTGTGGCTTGGCCTGGGACGAAGTTAGGTTAGGTTACCTAGTCGAACACCTCTCTCCAGCTGGGTACCCGGTAGGCAAGATCTGATCAAGCTATCGGGCGCGTGTGGTGTGCGTGGTGGCGGGACGGGAAGGTCACCACATGTATCTTTCTCCTGGGCTTCGGGTTGGGGGGGGGGTGTGATGAGAAAGGGGTGGGAAAGGAGGGGGGCAATAGATCGGGGGTGATGCTGGCTCCAGTTGGGTGTGTCGAAAGATCCGGAGCTGAGAAAGAAAAGCCGCCTAGCGTTGGTCAAGTTACCACGCTGCTCTTTGTGGCGGCTTTTTGGATATTTCTTCCAAGACACACTGTTAGAATCCCTCGTCGAGACTAGTCCGAGTGGGCTAATTTCAACTGGGTCTGGGAGTGAGACTCGAGGAGGGGCGTGGGCTCGCGAAGATACCGTGAACCTGGACCGGTGGGAAGTTCTGAATTTCTTTTCGATGCCGATGCTTTGTGGTGCTGGTCTAGTGCCTGGTGAAGCGGGCGCCCTTCAACAAAGTGCTGAAGAGACACAGAATGTGTGTTCGTACGTCGACTAGCAGCCGTGGTTCATATGGCGGCGCTTGTGCCTCTATCGTCGTCCGGCAAGTTGAACTAGATGAGTCGGCGGATAAAAATGTGATGAGAGATCGCCTGTCTAAGCGCGGGAGGGTCTATGGCCGGCTGGTGTCTGCCGATTTGTGCCTCGAGAGTTTGGCACAAAAAATGTGGATTGGGGTGTTTAGAGTCGATGCGATGAAGCGAGTTCGAGTCTTTTGACGTGTCGAGGTGAAGGGGATTTTGATGGATGTGTGAGAGGAAGAGGAGCAGGAAGAAAAGGGAAGAAGGGAGAGAGGAGAAACGCGGTTGTGCGAATTATGGGAGGAAATGACAGAGGTATTATGAGACCAGCGACGGACTGGCACCCAGGGCTGGGTATGATTTCTGAGTGGACGTATATTTCGCATACATTTATGATAAAGTACAGAGGTACCTGCGCGGCAACAGGGGGGGATCATCACAGGAGGCTTTCGGTACAGTGCTTCAACGGCGGAACGTCCATGTTCCCTTTGCTCCTGATGGACCAGATCCCTTCCCTACGCAGTAAGCGTTCTTGGGGTTGTGGGGGGGGGGGGGCATGGAATCGATGCCCGGGGACCAGATGTGCGGTGTGTTGGACTGAACCGCCTGGGGCCAGAGGGAGATGCGTGTGCATGTACCGGTCAGAGCAGACAGGGGGCCCGGGGGAGTCAGGTAACGCATCGTATTGTCAAGGTATCCATCCAGTCGACGGGCCGGGGTGAGAGGAAGGGGGGAAGTTTTAGCATCCAGATTGGCGGCGACTGAAGTTCGATTGATTGACTGATGTGCAGATGGCCTGCATTCGGAGATTCACCTCTTGGGATTTGTTCCGTTCCGTGCGGTCTCAGTAAGTCTAGGCGACTCGAGCCACTATCCTGAGGCTTCCTTGCCGAGGGACAGGACAACGTGGTACGAGGCGAGAGTTTCTAGGTATATATGTAAGCCGCGAGCTGGTGCTCTGAGTTGGTTGCGACAGATGCAGACTGGCTGGACATCAAACGTTGAAGACAATACTCCGAGAGGCGTCAGTAAGTCCTCATAGCGCCGTGCGTCGAGCACAAAGATCGGCCAAGGGCTCGCCAGGCAGTCGCGCCTGGACTCAGCTTCAGCCTATTCAGAGTTTAGGACGCACAGTCGGCCAACTCCTCATTGGGAACACTGAAGTTCTGAAGAGTTCCGAGTTCCAGGCTTTCAGCACCCACCCATAGTCTCGACTGCGAACAAGTGCCCTTCCAGTCGAGTACGGACATGCCAATATCTGATGACGAAGAGAAAATGGTACGACTTTTCGCAGCGCAGGGGAGGCGCCCCACGATAATTGGCCTGCTATCACGGCTGGATCGCAGATTGGCTGTTGAGGGGGTCCTGCGGCTGGGCAGGGGGGGCTTGCTGGGATCATGATCGGTGATGACTGGGGAGACTGCAGCGGAACACTTCTGGTCACTACGGAGTAGTAACGATAGCGTCGGCATCAGCGTAAAGTTTGCCAGTCGTTCTTGGAACTGCGCTGAGTTGCGGCAAAGCTGGCAGTGTTGGCCCGATGAAGTGGTAGCAGCGATGAGAGCTGAAGGATGATATCAGCGGTTTGAGATGTGCTTCGATCAATGGCCTGTTGATAGTGTCCCGTACCATCTTGGTAAGAGAGCGATTGCACCAGGCTGCTGTGTCAGTTTGCGTGAAGACTGGCAACGAAGGGATTGAGGGCGCAAGATTGACCGAGAATCAGAAACGTCGATATGGCCAAGCCATTACTGCGACGTCGTCGATGAAGAACGTGACAGAAGCAACGTCTCGATTGCCGGGTGGCCCGTGGATGCCAGGCAATGGCGTGAGATGGAAACTGTGCTTTGTCTCTTGGTGCCTTCATTTCTTTCCACCCATGCTTGATCCATCTTCCTCTTAGCGATGTCACGAAGCTGGCGGTGACTCTTGTACACAATCCCTGGACGACCCTCGACGACAGAGACTCTGCTCACTGCGACGACCCCAAGATATGGAGGCATCCCGTAGAGCAGGTCAAGGGTTTATTCATGAGGAAGCCGACGAACAGTGAGTGGGGAAAGACTGGAAGAGGGGGAGACAATGCTGGGAAGCGTCAAGGATTCGGCGCCGGAAGCTCGAGCACAAGGTAGCCCGTGTGATCCCTCAGAGCACCCTGTCCTTGTGAGTTTGGCAGCGGCACGAGCTTGATGGATGGGCGAGGTATCCGTACCAGGGCGGCACATTTTGAATGTCAGATGTCCGTGACCAGGGGATGTCGTTGGGTGATTCGCAAGGATGGTGGCAGGTATACGTCTCCGTATGGATCTCTTGTCACTTTCCAAGGTATCCGGTGCCGCCCTTTTTTCCAAATGAGATTCGAAGAGGGGATCAATCAGTGAGATGGCCAAAGCTTCGAAGCTGCTCGCGGCTGCTCAGAGCTTCTTGGAGCTCTCTGGAGCTGTCGCTTGTGCTTGGTACGTTACAGCACGCTGATATTCCAAATGGTCGCCATGGGCATGTGTACAGATACAGGACCTGCTGCTGGCTGAGCTGAATGTTAACAGCTGATGATGGACGCTTCTCTGCCAAGCCATGAAACAAAAGGTAATGGACTGGCAAGCGAATCGCATGCAATGGGGAAGTGTATTGATGGGATAGAGGGCCCGGACCTAGGTCCGAACCCGACTGGACTGACGTCGGGATAGGTTTTTTTTTTCTCGGCTTCACATATTCCCAGCCTCTCAGGCACCCAGGCTAAGCAGCTAAGGCTTTCAGGCTCCAAGGCTCCAACCTGTCATCTCTCGGCCCAATTATGGACCGCGCCGATGCGTCGCCGTCCCCAACTTTCATTCAGAGGAAAGTAAAGATTGTATAGGGACCTACAGAGAGGGAAGGAATGCGCTCTGATCATGTCGTAAGGAAGGAACGTTTCCTCCTACCTGCTCGTAATGGCCACAGACGGAAAGAGGGAGCATGAAAGAGCGCCCGAAACAGTTGGAAGGAGGAAGGGGAGAATTGTGATGGAGTGCAAGTCGGAACGAGGGAAGTATCCGTACGCGGTACCTAGATGCCAGGTCCGTAACGTACTGGGTGTAGACAGCGCTGGAGTTCCCTCCAGTGGCCACGTGCTGTAGCCCACCTGTCTGAAGCCTTGTGAGGTCGAGTATCCTCCCAGAGATCCCGAGGTGGAAACCTTGGAACCTTGAACTTTGAAGTCCCAAACACAGCTTGACTTGGGGAAATTGCCATGTACCTTATTACTTCGGAGTACTTTACGTAGTAGTCCAGGCTCGCTGATAAAAATCCGAGAGCGATACTCCGTAAGGTATGCTGATGAGCAATCCAGCACTGATTTACTGAGGTCACCTGATGGACTCCACTCACAACGACCCAGTTCGCTCACATTGAGAGATCTGAATGAGAGAGCGCCCAGTGCCCGAAACTGGAAATGAAGGGGGGAGGTGACCATCGAATCGACGGGAGGAAGCCGCCCGCCTGTCCATCGAACCCACGCCCTTCCCTGTTGCCTTGTGGCCTTGGGCGGGAATTTCACAAAGTTCCAATGGAAAGATCCATTGGAAATCGGATAAGATGGGGCCCCCTCTCTTAGGTAATCCAGATCCATCCGAGCTTTTCCCAGATACGCACCCATCAAAGTGACCAAACGTCGTGCAGTCACGCAGGGCAGTGTGCACTTCCGTCGTGGGAGCTTCCTCTCCACTTTGCAGAGTATCCACTTTCCTTGCTTTTTTCTCTCTTTTCGTTTTTTCCCACCTCATCTTTCTCTCTCTCTGTGGTGTGTGTGTGTCTCTCTCTCTTCTCGCCTGGTGCGGCATGCCCCTGGCCAACCACCGGT